TATATAATCTGACTCTAATATGTCTGTTGCTGCTCAAAATTAGCCCATTAATTACCATGTGCACACACGTTATTATCTCGTGGCCACATGAAAAAAAATTTTTTATTCCATGTCACCGGACGGGCTCCGTAAAACACAGATGGTTATTCTACTTTCATTTTATATTCCCAAAACGTAAAACCAATTTGTCTTTTGGAAGTTTAACACTGTCCTTAAGGCAACTCAATACTAACAGCTGACATCTGTTTAAAAATTAAAAAAACAAAGTTAGCTAGCATTTGTTACAGCTTTCTGATTAGCTAGTTAGAAAGCAAAATGTCTTTATTAATCCCATCATCAGACCATTTAAAGTGGCGCTAGTTAAAATTATTTTTTTAAAGAATTGACCTAGACTAGATCAGTGTATTGGCAAGAAATGGATCACGATATGATTTGATATATCGCGATACTGCAAGGAAGGCGATATATTGCTGATTTGATTAAATTCAGTTTATTTTTATGCAATCAGAAGAACACTGAACAACAGTGAGAATGGCTTTTGTGTTTAACATGTCTTCTTATAGGATCCATCCATTAAGCTGTAATTAAAATAGATGTGGTGCTTTTGAGAATCAATACAGTATCAGGAAAAGAAATATCGCGATATTTCAGTGTATCGATATTTTCTTACAACCCTAAACTAGACTAGATGTATTATTTTTAAAAAACTACAGTCTTTGTATATCGCTGATTCAAATTGTTTCCTGGAGCCTTTTTCCAAGAGGTCCATGATGAGGAACCTGAAACCACAGCTGGCACCACAGAACAGACGGTGGTAAACTTCCAGTTTGAAAAAATTTTAAAGACGAAACATTTTTGGACTATAAAATGTCAAAACAAATAACTAAAACGTACAAAGACCCTGAAGGTCACAACCCAACGACTCTGAGGCCCGTCAGACCACACAGAGAAACTCTAGTTCCAGGAATAAATACACTATATTTGATTTGACTTTTAAAGTGATTTTATGCTGTTTCCTGCTTCTTGTCTCTAGATGTATAAATCAGCAAATGTTTAAAACTGTTCTGATGTTTTGTTGCAGAGGCTTCGTCTCCGACAACAGGAACAACCTCCAGATGAGAGGACTGATCGTCCTGCTTCTGTCCAAAACCGCCGGGCCGAGCAGCGCCGCCTTCGACCTGCCCACTCAGGACGTGGTCAGCGGCATCTACCCCAGGTAACCC